TAAACCCAAAGCCTTAAACCCTAAACCTTAAGCCCTAAACCTTAAGTTCCTAAACCAGCTGCCGGTTCGGTGCTGAAGCTCTGGGCTTTTAGACTCTGGAGGTTTAGGGTAAAGGGTCTTAGGGTTTAGGGGGCGTAGAGTTTGGGGCTTAGGGTTTAGGTGTTAGAAAGTTAAGGGTCCCCAGGGTGCTGTGGCTTCGTAGGGTTCGGGTTTTGGTCTCGAAAACTCACATGTTAGGATCTGGGGCTGTGGCCTGAAGTGTGAAGTGTAGGGTTCCTGTATCCAGGAAGGTTCCTCGAATCATAATTCAATCGTCTAGTTCGTGATTCGTGGTACTCCGTCATCAACGGCTGTTTGGGTACCGCCGGTTCAGAAGCGTCTTGAGGGGGTTCTAGCTTCGGTTTGTTGCGAATGATGTAGGGGCCTTCACAATTAGAATAGGGTTTTGGGGCCCATTATACTATAGTTATTATAAGGAACCAACCCAAAATAGTATAGGTAATTAGCAAGGCCCCTATATTACACTCTCTTATGAGGGGTCCCTGACGGAGACAGGAAGGTCTTCTACTTAGGCCATGGCTACTTACTTTAAGTGGCAGGTCTTTTGAGCTTTAGGGTTTAGAGCTTTGGGGCTTCAGGGGTTGAGGGTTTAGGGCTTTAGGGGTTTAGGGGTTCGGACCCTAAACAACAGTGGGCTTATGGGTTTAGCTGTTTAGGGTTTATCCCGGAAGAAAGCTACCGATGTGTCAGGCCTCCGATGCCTTCCCTTACGGTTACAGTCGTGAATTTCGGGTTCTTGGGTCCCCGTCACCGGAATGGAGCAGAGGACCCGGTGCCCCCACCCAAGGCCCAAGCATTGAACCCCAGAGACTTATTCTTATGCCGTGAGTTTTGAAACCGGCAACTAATCCCTGGTTTAGGGCTTTGGTGTTTACGGCTCAGGGTTCAGTGTGCTACAAAACCCTGACTTGCCCTGTCCGAACAATAAGTACCAACTTGTAACAGCTCGGGGAGTGCAAAGGTTCAGTAGTTCAGTATATTGCAGGACTAACTGGCTGAGTCTTCGAATCCCATTCACACACGGTTTAGGGTTTAGGGTTTAGGCTTCAAACTCCCTTCCAACGGTCCTTGGCATGAGGTTCGACGTAACCCTCAACCACATAGAGCACCTGCAGGCTTTGGACATACAGTGGTCAAGATAGTCTACAGCGAATCCCAGAAAGTTGGAACATGGGTTTAGGAGGATTTGTGCTGGAATTCCCTAAACTTTACCTTAAGGCCATGAGTCATGAGGGTTATAATGTTCCGACTTTATGGCTTCTACCATCAACGAAATAGCTCCAGGCTTTTGCTGACAGGCGGACGGCGGTTCTGCAAAGGGGTAGTTCTCTAAATCAGGGCCCTTTTGGTTTAGGGTTTAGGGCTTAGGGTTTAGGGTTTCAGGGTTTATCGGGTTTAGAGTTTAGGGTTTAGGAGATAGGCTTCTAGGGGGTTTTAGGGTCAGGGTTGGGGCGTTAGGACAAAGACTCTATAAGAGCTCACGGCAACAGCACCCTCACCCTTAAACTTGAGTCCTTAAGCCGTAAGCCCGAGATTGTATGTATACCAAAAAGTCCCTCAAGCCTGATATCTGCGGCCTTAGGACCTAAACCCCACTGCTTCTTGCCGGCCCGACGTCTTCCTTAACAAGTATTAACTTGTATTTCATCATGGTTCTGTTAAGACCGGTGCGAAAACGGTTTAAATTTAAAATATGGTACTCCTGAACCCAAATTGAATCGATGGGTGGGTTAGCCGATCTGGGGAAGATCGACTCGACTGTTTACAGCTTACAGTAAGGCTAAACAAACTTCTATGCTTCGCTTTGGCTTTGGGGGTATATTCACATAGCACGATAATAGCAAGGACCCCTAATTACTCATTTTGGTAACTCCTTTTAACTTGGCACTTCTCACTGCAAGCTCTGGTATGTGGAGCAACGCAGGACCCAACATCTCCGTCCATGCTCCCAGCTACCTTTCAACTGAAGCGGCACCCAGCACTCCAAATCTTAATCCCCAAGCCCTAAACCCTAAACCTCTACACCCTTATAAGTCTTATAAGGGTCTTAATTCAAGGAACCCTTCTGAGCGGTACCCTTAAAGGAGCCCTGAAAGGGACCCACGCAAAGTCGGGGAACCAGAGGCATGGCAGGAAGCGCGAGGTCCATGGCAGCCAGGGAGGACGAGCCGGTGCCCGGTAGCAGCGAGGCAAGCAAGGGGGCCACCTTTCAGAGAGCGGGGGTTTCAGTGGTACAGGGCCCAGAGTTTGGGGTTTAGCTTTAAAGGGATTTAAGGTATAGGGTTTGGGGGTGTACTTGGAGGCCCAGGGGACTTAGTAAGTCGGTTATAAGTAGGGTTATAATTGGGGTAACTCCAGTTAGGGTACTTATAACTCTACTTATAGCCTACTTACTAAGTCCCCTGAACCTCCAAGTACGGGTATAGGATTTAGGGTTTAGGGGTTTAAGGGATGTCGGGTTTAGGTTTGAGAGCTGAGCAAGGGGCAACCTCGCAGGCAGAACACGGTGGAGGTTTTAGGGGCGTGCTGAGTTTAGGTGCTGGGGGGGAAAGCTCGCGAAACGAAATGTCTCCAAACCCTAAGCCCCAAACCCTAAAACCTCAAACCCTAAACCTTCAAACCCTAAACCCTCAAACCCTAAACCCCCAAACCCCTACACCCTAAACGCCCGCACATGCTTAGCAGAGGATGCCACAGGCCAGCAGGACCGACAAAACAGCAAACGAAAGTAGGTTCTAAGTAGGGTTCTTGGAGGGTCGGGTGACTTAGCAAGTAGTTGTTTTACAGAGTTATAAGTATCATAACCCCAATTAGGATCCCTGTCAGGGTACCCATACGTCTATTTACTACCCACCTACTAAGTCCCCTGACCCTCCAAGTTATAGTTGGGGTGACTCAGGGTTGAGGTGTTGGGGGCCTAATGTAGGGGCCTTAATAATTCGAACAGGGTTCCAGGGGCTTAGGGCTTAGGATTCCCCCTGAATATAAGAGCTGAAGAGATGGCCAAGAAGCCAGGGCCGTCAGCGCTAGCGGCAGCTGGTCCCAACTGTCATGAGGCCTTGGATGAGCCCCCAAACCCCCAAATACTCGACTTTAAACTGTCCTAGGTTCCTGAGTCGCCCCTAAATAATAAGAATAAGGGTACCCTTTTTCCTAGTATTCGGTTTTTATGAGGAGACCCCAAAATCAAAAGGGCAAAAGGGTACTACTCAGGAACCTAGTAAACTGTCCACTCTCAACCTTAGATCTTGGACCCTTCATATTGAGCCCTAAACCCTAAGTCCTATTCTTTCCTCGGCGCTGAACGCTGAACCCGCGTGACTGGCAGTTGATGTGGGGTCAGTAGCTCAGCAACTCCCATATCGTATTCAGTCATTAGTAAAGGAATCCTTGCAGGAACCCTTCAAGTAACCATGAAAGGAAGACCGAAAGGAAGCCTAAACTCTAAAAACCTAAACCGCAAATAGCCCTTAGCTACCAAGTCCGTTTTTGAGGATCCCGGAATATGATCTTCGGAGAACCACCCCTGCTTGGCAAATAGACGATCCCTAGCAACATCTCCTAACTGCATGAACTAGGCATTGCTAGGTGCAGCTTGCGCACTTAGACACAACCGGGGTTACAAATACAAGACCCTGAATATGATTTAACTCATTCCCAATAGAAGGTAACTTGAAGTCTCCGGGAGGGGTCTAAAGGGGGCTTGGTTTTCCGGGGTTTAGGGCTTACTTGGAGGCCCAGGGGACTTAGTAAGTAGGTTATAGGGGTAACTCCAGTTAGGGTACCTAGAACTCTACTTATAAGCTATACTTACCAAGTCCCCTAACCCTCCAAGCATTCGATTTCCTGAGCCCGAAACCCGAAACCGTAAACCCCTAAACCCTAAACCCCAAACCCCCGAAACCCTAAGCCCTAAACCCGCAACCCCTGAACCCTAAACCCTAAGCCCGAAACCCGAAAGTGCCCCCTGCAGCCGCGCCCACGCGCCCAGGAGGGCGGCCGCAGTGCCGAGAACGAGGATGGCAGCTACTTTGAGCCACCTGAAGGGCGTAGGGCTTTGGGCTTAGAGGGTTTAGGGTGTAGCGTTGAGGGTTTAGGGTCTTCTCTTTTGGGGGGGGGGGGTCTAGGGTTTAGGGTTTAGGGTCTAGGATTTAGGGGTTTAGGTTCTAGGGTCCAGGGTTTAGGGCTCAGGGCTTAGAGGGTTTCGGGTCTTGGGTTTAGGGTTCAGGGTCTAGGGTTTAAGGTTTAGGGTTTTTTTTGAACCCCTTTTTTTTTCGACAGCTCTCCAAGTCGGTTTAGAGTTTAGGGCTTAGCGTTCAGGACTGCTTCTGTTGATGATTTAAATCCTGCATTACCTTACGGACCCTAAACTATGGGAATTATGGTACATTCCTTACTATGGGTAATGCAGGATTTATATCATCAACCGTTAGGGGATGTAGGGTGCAGACGTACAGGGCTTAGGGTGTCGGGCTCATAGGGTTTAGGGCTTGGGGTGTCTTGGGTGTAGGGTATGGGTCTGAGGCTTAGGGTTTTCGGTTTAGGGACATTTGGTTTAGGTTGACGGGTTTAGGGGTTCAGGGTTTGTGGCTTGGGGAGGTGTGAGGTGTCATGGGTCCTGTTTCATTGAGGATTGGATTTAGGTGTAGGCTTTAGGGCAAACTACGGTAGATCATGAACCTCACATCCTGAATATGAGGTTTACTTGGAGGTTTAGGGGACTTAGTAAGTAGGTTATAAGTAGAGTTATAAGTACCCTAACTGGAGTTACCCCAATTATAACCCTACTTATAACCGACTTACTAAGTCCCCTGGGCCTCCAAGTAGAGCCAGGGTTTGGGAGTGCAAGTGCCCAAGTCCCTATCCCTTGCATCCCAAACCTGTCAAACCTGACACCCGTTAAGCAAGCTGACACCCGTAAAACCCTGCAGGGCCACTACGAAAGCCTAGAACACCGCTATATATAACACATGACAACCTACTTGAAAAGTGGATGGCCAGTCGCCTCTTGGGGGAATCAACCACGAAGGCGGCAAACGCGGCACTGGCAACCGATAGCAGGGATCGTCGAACGTCGGCATCCTCAAAAACTAGAACCGAAAGGGTCGGCTGTTTTTGACTTACAGGGCATTATAGGCTGGTCTTGTTTCAGAAAAATTCGTTCAAACCAAGGATATGGATTACAAGGCTCTGTAGTTGTGTCGGGGCTTAGTTGGGTTCTGGACCCAGGGGTGTTCGGGGTTTTGGGTGCGACCCAGAAAGCCCAATGCCCCATGTGTAAGTAAGAGTTCTTTGGTGAGCTACATTATACAGGTATGAGTTTACCAAAACTCTTCAATTCTGTTCCTTCTTCTGGTTACCCGATTTCTATCGGTAGGATCCCATCAAATCGGTGAACGAAAGAAGAACTAGAATGACTAACATAACCCGGACGCACGAAGAACTGCCAGCCACTGAAGGCTCAGGTGGCAGGGTTGTGTTTCAGCCTTTGAAGTCTACGTAGATGTTTGCAGCGACAGCAGCCCCCAAACAAACTGTCTTGAAGCTATTGCGTAGAGGTCTAGAGTCGCGGGGTTCAGGCCGCATGCACCCAAGTACCCCATGGATCACCCACTCCTAGCACGAACAACAAACAGATAGTAATTACAGTCAGCAGCACTAAGAAAAATCCTGGCTAGTTGAGAAGCTGCTGTGGAGGCTACAGCCTCAACGCCCGTAAAGCCCGAATTCGCCAATGTGCTGAGCAAGCCACCACTTAGAAGACCGAACATATAAAACGCTTTAGTCAACAACATCCCAAAGCGGCCTGCCATAAATATCTCCTCAACACTGCAAACTATACCCCTAGATACGAATGGGTAAAGGTAGTCCCTGAATCCCAATCCCCAACTGCCGCAAGGTAGAGGGCTTAATATTCGAATAAGGTTTCGGACGCTTCTCGAATATATTTATATGATTGAGTGCGGAGGCAACGTAATTGTATTTACCTAGGCTTCTATATTACTGTAGGGGCTCCTTATTATATTTATAGTATAAGATACCCCCAAACCCTATTCTAACTATTAAGACCCCTAATATAGAACCCCATCATCTAGACCCTTATAGAACCCTTGTTGTAATTATTAAGGCTTCTATACTAGGTTCCCCAGTAAACCCCTAGTCATAAGGGTACCGTTTTTCCTAATATTCGGTTTTGGTAAGGAAACCCCAAAACAAAACGGCAAAAGGGTACTACTGGGGAACCTACCTTAAACTACCAAACCCTACTTTTTTGTAGGTTCCGATTATGAACCCTGATATGGAATTTATTCGCCTCGGTTCTTGGCCGAGTTCCCCACCTCTTAATCCCCTCCCCAATGATCCCCACCCCGCGAAAGGGCTATCAGGGTAGGGTCCTGCGGCGAAATCTCGCCTCCTCCAATGGATTTGGGCTCTCTGTAGAGAGTCTCACCC